TCTGTTTGCAAGGAAAGTGTTTTAGTTACAGCCCAGCAGTTCAAACCGCTGGCAAAATCTTTTTTCTTTGATGAACTGCATCCCACAAACTCTCTTTATATAAACAAAGTTCTTCCACTGCTTCTAGTTACCGATGAAGGGTTACTTTTGTATTGACAGGGCAAATTTCATTGTTTTAGGCAAATTCCATTTTTCCCTCTAATGAATTGCATAATTAAATTCCAGAGGTTCAAGTTGTACAAAGCAGTTATGTGAATTGACCACACAAGTTGGAAAGAGCTTATGGCTGATCTTCAAACATACTTTATTACCTTATTTCAAAATGAAGAAAAGCCCAGCCAAGACTATCTGTTCTCCATCCTCAAATGCCCTCTGGACAGAAATATGGGATATAAATCATAATAAAACTTTAAATAACCATCTCACTGAATTCAAGCTGAATCAATGGGGAGTTAAATCAGGCTACAGGGAAAAAATAGTTTTTCTTCCATCTGAAATCCTGGAAAGCTTTTGCTATTGTGAAGGACTAATGTTCAGTTCATATCCCAGTATGCCAAGTCAAAGAACCAGGGAAAAATAAATAACTGTGGTTCCAAGCTGGTTTGCTCAGGCAACCATTGCTGATTGCAGTTTCATCTAGTGGTTAAAATGCTAAGAAGAGGTGAATTCTAGTCCTGCCTTAGACATGAAAACCATCTAGCTGGCTGGGTCAATCACCAGGAGATGCTGAGTTCTAGTCCTGCCTTAGTTGTGAAAGCTGGCTGGGTGACTTTGGGCCATTCACTCTCTCTCAGCCCAACTTATCTCAAACGGTTGTTTTTATCAGGAAAACAGGAGGAAGAAGTCCTTTAGTGACTGTTCAAAGTTACAGCAAAATTGAAAAAAGTGATTTATGACCATTTTTCACACTTATGACAGTTGCAGTATCCCCACAGTCACAGGATTTACATTCAGTTGCTTGACATCTGACTCACATTTATGACAGTTGCAGTGTCCCACAGTCCTTTGATCCCCTTTTGTGACCTTCTGACAAGCAAAGCACTTGGGGAAGGCAGATTCTCTTAGCAACCGGGTTACTGATTTAACAACTGCAGCGATTCACTTAACAAATGTGGTGAGAAAAGTTGTAAAATGGGACAAAATACACTGAACAAATTTCTCACTTAGCAACTTTGAGCTCAATTGTGGTCGTACACTGAGGACTACCTATATTATGTGTGTTCACTGCTTTGAATTAATAAATAAACAAATACATAAATAAATTATCTGGTTATTCAGTTATTGGGTTTGTTAGTTAGAATCAGAGCAAAGCAACCAAAATTCCTTAGAAGAAACAAAACATGCAATGCTTGTGATCTGATCTGATCAGGGACTGGGGAAATGATAGATTTGAGCTTTGTCTTGCAGACCTTACTGGTGAACAAAACCATGCAGGTCTTCTTGGGGTTTCTCCTCCAACTCTCCCGAAGCAACATCTGGAAAAAAAAAGATTTCTAGGAGGAATTGCCATCTAGTGGAATCCTCAGGCATTGACTTGTACACGGCCCGCTCTATTCCCCTTGGCATCCAAAAACGGAGGGTGGGGGGGAATGATAATTGGAACCATCCCTAGAAAAATCCCACCCAATTAAGTTGACAGCATTTTTGAAATAGTTCTGTCTCCAAAGGAAACCGAACTGAACTCTGCAGCAGTTCAACTATAGGCAGAATAGGATTCCCGCCTAGACCCTCACCCCATCCCAGCCAAGGGAAGCAACTTTTCTGCTCTGGGTTCTCCAGACTTTGTGGCTTAATGGGCAGCGTGCATGTCTACAGGCCAAGATGCAACCAGTGAGGCAGATTGTCAGCACCTCCGTTGAACGTGGTCTGGCTTGTGTTTTACTCCACGTTGTTGAAGTGCCAGGAGCTCATCAACCAAAGAAGGTTCCCCTTCAGCAGTGTTTCTCAAGCGTGGCAACTTTAAGATGCGTGGACATAAAGTTGTCAAGCCTGAGAAATATCGTCCTTTGAGAAGACATTTAACAAAAAAACCCTTTCCCAGCAACATTATTCATGATCTAGACATACATGGAGAACATGCATCCCAAGCCTGTTCAACAGTTTCCATATCCGAAAGAGCCCAGATTAACCTCCACAGACCTATTCCCTTCTTGGCTTCAAAGCAGCTTTCCAGAGAAGTTCATTGGCATGTTCTGGTTGGGAACCATTGCATGTTAATGATTTATCGTGAAGTAGAAATTGAGCTATGTGGGTCATTCGCAGTACATTTGCTCTCCCTGCCATATCATGGCCCCATCATCTTCCACCAAAGAACCTGGTGGTCCCATGCACACCACATACTGTTGAGGTCTCGCCTTGGCTTGGTTGTCTTGCACTGGAGGGTAGTTGGTGGACGAGGCCTATTCAATTTCAGTTCTGATGGACTGTGCAAATTCAGGAAATGGGGTTGCTTCCATAGCTGAATGTTGACAAAGCTGATCTGCACTGCAAGGCAGTAGCCACGGTTTAGGGCTTCTCAAACAGGTCCACAAGGAGAAGAAAGAAAGAAGTGCCCAGCATGGTGATGGAGGGAGATGTGAAAAACAGATGGACTTTGAAAATACTGTTGTGGGTACCAGCTTGACTTTTTTGCCATACCTTACAGACACACCTACCTATCTGGGGGGAAGGTGGACTTTACCCCTAGTATATATGAATGGAAAAACATTAATATGGTATATTAGCATGGATTCTTCTGTGTCTTGACAAGGTCCATCTCTCCTCCTCCCTATCTCTTTCTCTCATACCTAATATTCCTTCCTCATCCAATTTTCTCCACAACAATAATCCTGTCAAGTGATTTGGATTGAGAGAGAGTGGTTGGTTCAAAGTCATTCAGATGCCTTTCATCACTACAGCAGGACTAGAACTCGCCATCTCCTGGTTCCCAGCCCGATACACCAAATCATCTATACCATTTTAAATTATAATATAATATATAATTTACAATAATAATATAATTAATATAATACAATATAATATAATACAATATAATATAATAATGTTATACAGTATTACATTACATATAAAATTGATATATGTAGTCATACCTAGCGATGCAAATTAGGACTAGAGAGACAATATGTGCCAGTCTGCTTGACCCACAAAAGGTCCATATTTCCAGCTGAAAGGAACAGAGAGCAGAAGGGGCATCTCCTGGCTGGCATCACCAGCCTAAGAACTTATAAGGCAGGTAGGTGGTGCCTACAGAGAAGCACAATATTAGGAGAAGGAAGAGAGTCCAACTTCCAAATCCAAATGTTGGGATTGATCATTCTGTTTGAGTGGCATGCATTTTTTTTTAAAGAGTAGACTGACAGTCAATCCAGTAACACAACCTTTTTCAGGAACCAATGGAAGGAATAGGATAGCATAAAGAGAAATTTTCATATGAGTTGAAAAGAGAGAGTGCAAGTGATCAGCAATAGATAGTATATTTTTTGGAGAGAGAGAAAAGAAGAGTTTCGAGTTGCAACAAACTAGGAATCCTTACTTTCTTTTGCAGCACAAGAAAACTGCCCTACATCAAGAGTAGAATTCATCTGGGCCAAGATATCAATTGACAATATCTTTCAAATTTTTAGGTTCACTGGATTGGTCTCCTATGAAGTCAAATCTAGGTCCTTCCAGCTTTGTATTTAGCACAATTTTCAAAATTATAGGCAGAGTTTCAGCATCAGGGCACAGCAGATGCCACAAGCTGGACCTTGAACCTTGATTCCTCAGCTGCTCATATGTGAAAGCTACTTCTATAGCTTTCATTATCCTATGATAGTGGACTCTTCTCATTGACAAATATCTCTCCAAGGTTCCAGATAGAACCAGGTCCCAACAAATTTCCAAATGTCTCCACTCAGTTTGTGCAAAGAGAATTTTGGGTGGGTGAATTTCTCTGTGCTTAATCAGGAGGAGATCGCCTAGAAGTTCTCAAGAACGAGATTCTTGAATGGCCAATTCCTGTTGGAGATCTTCTCTTGAGATTGAAGGAAAGTAGAAGAAGACCACCAGTCTTGAGACTGTTCCCAATTCTGCTAAGTAACTGTCAGGTGACTATGTGCCATACACGAAGCGCCTTTTAGTCAGATTGAATGAGAATGAGCAAGGGAAAATAAAACATCTTTCCTTTACCCATTCTCTATTTTTTATGCTTAAACAAGTATGCCAAGGATTACCATGGTCCCTTCTTTGGGCAAAGGAATGCTCTATAAGTGGACTTATTCATGCATTTGTGAACAAATCCCAAAACTGGGATTCATAAAAGCACGAACAACAGTAAGGAAAGACAAAAATACTGAAGTCACTAGTTTTATCTAGTAATCTCACTGGTGACATATAGCAAGGGTGTCCAACCTTAGCAACTTTAGGACTTATGGTCTTCAACTCCTAGAATTCCCCAGCCAGCATGGATGGCTGGGGCATTCTGGTAGTTGAAGTCCACAAGTCTTCAAGTTGCCAAGGTTGGTCATCCTTGCTATATAGTTTGATTCCTGGGCATGCTTGAAGTCAAGCTAACATCCAGAGCTGGAAAATAGAGGCCATGCTTTAGGAAAGCACCTTCAGCAAGGCGTTCAGTGTGGCTGATGAGGTTTTGCACCCTGACTGCTCCAAAAGTTCTTGAAGTCCAGAGCTTCTTCATTCTCCGCTCCTGTCAGGACGGAGTGCCCAAAAGCAGGGGTCTCCAACCTTAGCAATTTGAAGACTTGTGGACTTCAACTCCCAGAATTCCTCAACCAGCTTTGCTGGCTGAGGAATTCTGGGAATTGAAGTCCACAAGTCTTAAAGTTGCCAAGGTTGGAGACCCCTGCCCAAAAGGATACTGAGCGACTCAGGTGAGCGGCAGACAGGGAAAAACTAGAGCCCTTCCAAGCTGCAGCAAAGGGCCCTGGGAACTGCAGTCCACATTGCCCCAAAATCTGGAAGGCTTCCAGGCAATTTGCGAGACCAAGCGGGCACGCACTTACCTTGAAGCGCCAGCATTAGGCAAACGGCCATGGATATCTCCAACCTGACAGTCATGTTCTGATGTGGCTGAGATGGGTCCTTTGGCAGCAGAAGGTGCCCAGCCCAGGATGCCCTCTTGGGCACCAGAAAAGCTGCCAAGGTAGCAACCTCTACCAATCGTCCAGAAGGTGTCGGAGCTGGCTGGAAACGAAAAGGGGGGATCCTCTCCTTTTCTCCCGATGCTGCCAAAATCGACTCGGCCCTTCCCTCTCAGTCTCCCGCGATCTCTCCAGCGGACTGAAGGTCAGCGAGAAGGGAAGCCGAGACCTCGAAGTTGGCAGAACCGGCGGGGCTCCCGATCTTCGCGGGGTCCCGGGCTCCTCCCGGTTAGCAGGTGTTCCTGGGACAGGAGAAGGCAGCTCACGCCCGGAGCGGCTCGGGGCGGGGAGGCAGGGAGGTCGGGAGGCAACTTCTCCGCAACTCGCGAAAGTCTCCGGATTGGGCTTTTAAGCGGGGCGGGGGGAAGCGGAGGAGTCGCCCGCCTGCCAGAGGCGACCGGGGTCTGCGGCGCCTTCCAAGGTCTGGGGCTGGTCCAAGAGAGACCGGGGACTGTCATTTCCCCCTCGCCCCCTCCCCGGCGGAATCGCCTTTTCCTGGGATGTTGGGCTGCTTGAGAGGGGAAGGAGTGGAGGAAGGCGAGACGTCAGCAGCCAACGGCCCAGAGAGAGGAGTCCCCCCCCCCCCCCGCACCCCCCCCCCCCCCCACTCTCCCTCCCCCCCCCCCCCCGCCTTTCTTCTGGCTGCGAAGCCCCCCCGCTGCTCCTCCGGCTCGCTTTAGGGGGGCCCCTTTCCCCCCCCCCCCCCCCGCAAAGTCATTCACTTTGTTCGCGTGCAAGCCAGCTTTTGCCCAGGTTTGGCTGGCGATGCCTGAGCGGCGATTAGAAGCGGGGAGGAGGAGGAGGAGGAGGAGGTGTAGCCGTTCCGGATTTGAAACACACTGGTAACGTCTCTCTCTAGAACATAACAGAGTTGGAAGGGACCTTGGAGGTCATCTAGTCCGACTCCCTGCACAAGCAGGAGAGTCTACAGGTAGCCCTCGACTTACAATAGTTCACTTAGTGACCTTTCAGAGTTACACCATCCGGCACTGAAAAAAAGTGACTTATGACCATTGTAGCATCCCCACAATCACGTGGTTTCCATTTGGATGCTTGACGAGCGGTTCACATTTATGACAGTTGCAGTGTCAGAAGGCCCTTTTGCGACCTTCTAACGAGCAAAATCAATGGGGAAGCCCGACCCACTTAACCACCATGTTACCAATTTACCAACGGTGGCAAGAAAAGTTGTAAAATGGGGCAAAACTCACTTAACAAATGTCTCACTTAACAACATGAATTTTGGACTCAATTGTGGTCATAAGTCAAGGACTACCATTCCAGACAAATGGCTGTCCAGTCTCTTCTTAAAAGCCTCCAGTGATGGAGCATCCACAACTTTTGAAGGCAAGTTGTTCCACTGGTTGATTTCTCTCTCTCTGTCATCTATCTATCTATCATCATTATCTGTCTGTCTGTCTGTCTGTCTGTCTGTCTGTCTATCTATCTATCTATCTATCTATCTATCTATCTATCTATCTATCTATCTATCTATCTATCTATCTATCTATCTATCTTCTCTCTCTCTCTCTCCCCCTCTTATCTCTTATCTATTTATTTATGTCTCTCTGTCTGTCTATCATCTGTCGATATCTGTCTATCATCTATCTATCTAGAAACCACTAATCTCCGAGGTCTTTGGGTGATGTACAAATAAGATTTTAATCTGAGTTTAGTTCTGAGATTTGCTGACTTTCTTTCTCTGTCGCAAGCCTACCTCATCTGGTTGTTGTGAGGATATGCCAAATAGAAGGCCTTGCATCCTGAGACTTTGTCTTGTCAACAAAAGCCAGCATTCTCATTGGGGTCATGGGAATTGTAGTCTGAGGCACCTGCAAAGCACTGGATTGTTGCAGAGAAACAAGATAAGTTTGTGAAAATGTATCAAACTGGATGGTGGCAGTTTATGGGATTGCCATGGAGGAGGGGGTGATGATAAAAATAAAAAATATTTACGAACAGATCTCTTGGGAACAGATCTTTACTTTCAGATTTCTCTAGATAATGTATATGATGATAGTGAGCATAAGTGTGTTTTGAGCGGTTGAAGTAGGTACAATAAACAAGGGGTTTAAATCCCAGCAGCTCAGCTTGAAGGGGATTTTCTCTGACTGTCCACAGGGAGGGAGTCAAAGAAGCAAAGATGTCTATTGCAACCCAACAACTGAAACCCTT